AAGGATCCCTCTCTCCCAATAAACTGGGAAAGACAGGCAGTCTTGGCATTCAGGACCATATGGCTTGACTCAGGGGCTCAGGAGCTGTAGCCTGTGGAACAGCTTCTTGTCATGGTGGTGAAGCATCTGTCAGCCTTCAAGCAGTTACGCTTCCTGCTTTCTGGAGGCAGTGATAGACTCCTAGCTCTCCAAAGGATTATTTCCTTCATTTTAAGGATTAGCAAACAAATGTGATACCAAACCATTAATCATTCTGAGGGGATCCTAGCAGGAGAAGAGAAAGACTTTCCACTAAAACCGTGAAGACCTGTGTGCAAAGGGAGAGCAAGTGAAGCGGATACAAGGAGGAAGACTTAAGCACATTCGGGCACTCAGCATGTTAAAGTAAATTTTAATTTTTATGCTCTCCTGTGGCTACTTTTGCCATTGTCTAGACTGGTAACTGACATAGTGAAAAGAACAGGATTGGGAAGCCAGGAAAAGAAGTTAACATTTCTTATAATAAAATATTCTGCAATAGACATAGTATAGAAAGCGAGAACCACTACATCACTGAGCCTTGAAAATGCTTAGTAATACCTGGATAGCGCTTAAAATAAATCGGGGATTTTGGTATTTGAGGTAGTGTTACACAGGGATAATAGAGAACTAAGTGCAGCTGAAGGAGTAGCTGAGTCATACGTTAGTGCAAGGAAAGTGCTGAAAGAGAGGAGTCTGGCTGAGCGCTAGACTCAAAGTGAGCAGGTTGGTCAGTTTATTTAAGTCAGTCTTAACCTGAGAAACCACAGAACTGCAGAGACATGTTCCCTAGCAGTGTCAGTCCTATAAAGATTGTTTCTGAAACTGTACAGTTTGAAATATATAACCCCCTGTTTTAAATGTAGCAACGCCTCCTGGATATTTTGTTTTTAAGTAATAATGCCTTTAAAAATGTGATTAAACATTTAGAGTCCAGTCATACAAATCCTTTTTCGGTGGGACTATTTCCATGAATTAATCTTATTGAAGGATTACCTGTAGGAGAGGATTTGCAGGCTTATGTACTTAGTAATTAAAACTATAATCAGAAGCGAGTTTGTCATTTTGCATGGTGATATTACAACAAAATATCCCTGATGTCTGGACAGCCTTTTACATTTTGAATAAAACAGGATGAGTGGTGCTAGTGTGATACACTCTTGCAAAAACATGCAGCAGATTTCTGATTGTCTTATTTCTTGATTTGAAGACAATCTAAATAGGATTAAGTTACTAACAAATATGCTGCAAGGAGGGGTCACCATGGGGCTAGCTCACAAGTCTGCTGATGTTAAGGCATCACAGATACTTGGTTCAGACACTTGATCTTCAGCAGTGGGTTGGATGTACAACCTCTTAGAAACCTGGGTATTAGAAGGGCCTTAGACCTGAACTTGGCTTTTTACCTCTGAATGTGTACATTATTGATGGTAGTTAAATGATTGGTAGTTAGGTTGTCTTATCTGTAGTACATTTGTGTCACTGAAGTGGGAGCCTCTGTAGAAATCATTATGGAATGGTACATGGGAAAAGAATTAGTACACACATTACCTGCTCCGGTCTCGTATCGGCAGGCTAAATCCAAAACGCAAAGCTGATACATAGGTGTGAGCTTGCAGAGTCATTTTAGGGGACATAATGAGCTCTGATCTCCAATCTTTCTTGTTCATTCTGAAAAGAAAATTAATACTAGGCACTGGAAGATGTTTGGAGCTCACAGTAGGTATAGGTCTGCTGCTTGTCAGATAGAAACAGAACTTGCTGGAGCCAGAAAGATGATGTGCTATTTGCAGAGAGTAAAAAAAAAAACTTTCCCTTTTCCCCTGGTTTTGACTCTGTTTAGGGGAGGCTGGTTTGCGAGTACTACAGCTGGAAAGAACATCCTGGAATAAAGAGTCGTATGGAGAATAAACAGCAGATGACCTGGAAGGCTCTAGGGTGGGGGAGCATTTTACAAGGCATGCTTAGGGATCTTTTTAATTTTTTTTTTTTTTCCTTTGCCTGCTTGTGTCGTTCGCCTGTTTTTGTCTCCATGAACTATGCAGCCCTTGGCTTTGTAGTTTAAATTGCGGCCGCTAACGAAATCTGCTTCTGACCCAGTTCTGCTCCCACACTGAAATCCAGCTTCTCCTTTTGTACACGGCGTGTCAGTCGTTCAGGTACAATTCTGCAAACTGACAGTGTCATTCTCCAAGTTTTGTTATGTGACTGAATGATATGCTGGCTCATGTAATCGCCATATTGTACGAAAGTTAAGAGTTGGCAAGATGCAGCCCTTGGCTTCGGCTGGGCAATGCTCAGTATGCAGGATGTAAACACAACACCCGTTTATTTGAAGCAAGGCAGGAAAAATCTCCCTACGCAATTCCTTTTGAGTGGTGGGAGCTGACAGAGGAAAATGAAAGTGTTTGTTCTCGCCCTGGTTTTTGTTATGCCAAACCTGAGGTTAGTCGGCCTTTTAAACACACTGCAAATCCACTCGTTTTTTGTTTTTTATCCCTGTGCACTTGTGAAAAAAGGAGATGGGCAAACGTAAGGTGAGTGGAGAAGGGGTAGTGCTCCTCTTTATTTTTGTTGGTTTGCCTGTGTTTGCATTGCATACCCAGTCGTATGTAAACCTGCAAAACAGATGTTCATAAATATTACCAATGTTGAAATAACTGACTGTGGGGAGCACTTAAAATAAGATTTCTTTTCTGGATGGTTTTAGTTGTTGACAAATTGAAATAGTATCAGACGTTTATTAGAATGAGAATGAAAACTGGGAATACATTACAGTTACAAACAGAGAAAATAAAAATAGTGTTGAGTATTTTATTTGATTAAAGCTGGTAGCATGCATAATATCTGAGGTCAATTAAAGTAGATACACTAATGAAGACATCATTTCTACTGTGTGTCTAAATAAGAGCCAGCTGAGGAGTTTAGATTAATGAACACTTTGGATCACAATAACATAGGAAAGGAATTATCCTCTAATTTCCTATTGTTATCTAATAACCACTGGGTGAATGATTTGTTGTTGTTTCTCTTTAAACAATGTTTAAATTATACAAGGTAGATGGATGAGAACCATTTTAAATCTGATGAGGAATTTTCTGCTTTACACGTACTTTTACATCATCGTTGCTATGTGGAGCAGGCTGAAGTTTAGGTGCAAGGCGAAAATAGCGTCAGGTTTAAGATGTTGCTGTGGACATTGCCTGAAGGAGGCCCTTGCGGTACTCACTGCTTTGCAGCCATGCTTTGCAGCACACAGGTTTGCAAAGTGAGTAAGTCCTGAGCCTCCAGCTATTTCATCACTGCTTGAACCAATGCTAGAAGTGAGACCAGGTGGTGCAGGCTCAGGGGAGCGAGTGCAGGCTTCCCCCTGCATGGCCAGCAGGGCTTGTAGACAGTGGCTGGGGCTCCCACAGAATCACAGAATGGTAGGGGTTGGAAGGGACCTCTGTGGGTCATCTAGTCCAACCCTCCTG